GACCAAAGCTCCGCTTTTGTCTGTCTGTGCCCTCCAAGGCTGGAGCACTCCATAGACAATGACAAGGATGAGTAAGGCACGAGCCCTTGGAGAACCCAATGCACCTGTGAGACCTTTTCCTTCTGCCAGGTTGCACTGAGAAAGGGTTTTGCTGTTGTGAGGAGAACATCAAGACGTGCACACACACACACACACACCAGACGTAGTTGCAGCCTCATTTCCCAAAGAAGCCAGGCTAATAAATATTGCATCAGCCGGGAAAGGAAGGGATGTTTGAAGTGCCAAATTTATTTTGCTGCTGCTCTATGGTCATAAAGTCCGGGTGCCTCTTTCATATGAAGTATGAATTTGTAATTATAAGTCATAAAAGATTTATACAAAGTGCATATTTCGTGTATGAAATGCCATAGAAAGAGCAGGCTTATTCTGGGGTGAGAAGCTACCTTTGCAGTTACCCCCACATTTCAAGGAAGAACAAGTCTTTTTCAAGCAGCACTTTGGAAAGAAATGTTAAATAGACTGAATGAGCACAACGGGAAGGACTTCAAAAGGAAATAAAAATATCCCTTGGAAGCGATGTCGTGTCTTTGTAGTATGAGCCCGTACTCGGCAAAGCTGTTAGAAAATCAGCTCAATGTCTGCTTCTGCTGGGTGGCTTGGAGCTTCCTTGCTGCAGATCTGCAGGTCCTGGTGCCCAGGGGTGCAGGAGGACCTGGAGATGGCCCTACRCAGAGGCAAATCAGCTTTCCGGCCCCAAATGCCAGCTTTTCCAGCCCCAAATGCCAGGTTTTCCTCTGCCTGTGCTGTTTTTCCCACCTTTTCTACTTTTCGTACCTTTTCTACTAAAGCAAACAAGTTCTCAGTTGCAATTGAATTGGCCTTCAGTCAAGCTCTGTCTTGTGTCAAGGATTTGCTCTGCCCTGGTATTTTCTCCCTGCACGTGATCTCAGGCAGCCCTCGCTGGCGAGCGCTTTCCCTACACATAAAATAACGTCACCAAACCAGCCCTGGCTCCAGTTTGCCCCCGAGACAAACATCTCTGTTGATGCAGCCGCGAGAAAGCAGCGCTGTGCCCGCCACACATTCACAGGGAAAACCTTCTCCTCTGCATCAGCCTCCCCAGCGCAGCCTTCACCTCCTGGTTCCTCAGGCTGTAGACGAGGGGGTTCAGCATGGGGATCACCACGGTGTAGAGCACAGCAGTCGCCTYGTCTGCGTCCGCCGTGGATTGGGAGCTGGGACGCACGTAGATGAAGAAGACGGTGCCAAAGAACAAGGCAACAGCCGTCAGGTGGGACGTGCACGTGCCGAACGCCTTGTGCTGGCCCTCCACAGAGCGGATCCTCAGGATGGCCACGAGGATGTACGCGTAGGAGACAAGGATGATGCCGCTGCTCAGCATGCCCAGGGCGAAGGACAGTGCGGAGCAGAGGCTGGGAGATGGCCACGTAGCGGTCATAGGCCATCGCTGCCAGGAGGTAGCACTCGGTGGTCATGAAGAGGCTGAAGAACCACATCTGTGTGGCGCATCGCGGGAGGGAAATGGCTTTCTGCTGGGCAAAGAAATTGGCCAGCACYTGCGGGGTGACCACAGAGGAGTAGCAGAGGTCTACAAGGGACAGGATGCTAAGGAAGAAGTACATGGGGGTGTGAAGCTGAGGGTCAACACAGATTAAGAAGATCATCCCGAGATTCCCCACTACTGTGATGACGTAGCTCAGCAGGAAAAGCAAGAAAAAGGAAATCTGCAGTTCCAGGCAGGCTGAAAAACCCTCAAAAACAAACTTGGTCACTTTGGTGCAGTTTTCTGCCATCCTTTCTTCTCAGCCYGTGGAAAGAAATAAAAAGCTAACGTGGGCTAGTGTGAGGTAGCTCGTTCTAGATAGTATTAGATAGCTCGTGGCCATGCCCTGGTAGTCCTAGGAGATAACTTCACAGGGCTGGCAATTGCTTCCCACAGAAATGGGATGTAGGCCTGGAACCTCATCTGACTCATCTTTAGTCCTTGTGGGCAGCTCTACTAAATCCTTCTTTTCGGGAGCTAATCCAGCTCTTTCGGGAACTGGTTGCTTTGCACTTACTGCTGAGTTCAAATCAGCTGTGCGGCGCTGGGTGGTCGAAGCATTTCCTTGTTAGATGGTATCCAGATATTATAAATGATGTTTAGAAAACAAGGTCCTAGAGCAGGGAGTGAGGTAGCTCCCTAGCTTTGGGAGGAGCAGGGCCTTGGTTTGGCCTCAGGAGGAGCTGGCTGAGGGTGGTAGGGAAGCAGACATGGCGCTCCAAGGGAAAAGCAAGGCTTTCCGAGATCTCTGGAGATCCTGCAGGGTCTATGACCACCAAGGGGGTGTCGAGTCGACCTGGAGTGGAGACATGGGCTGGTAGAAGGGGGTTGCCCTGCAAAGCTGCTGGGACAGGTAATAAATGTTGTTCAAGCCCCCTCACCCAGCAGGGCGGGCCTGACTCTCKCAGCCACAAGTTGTTCCACGTGGGTGTTTGTTGCATTCTTTTGCTGTTGAGAGTGGAGGTTTCGGTGTCCATCACTGTGGTCTTTCCAAGGGAGAGCAGGGAAGATGGCAGTGCCACCCTGGGCCTTGGGGTTATTYGTATCATTCCTTGTGATTTGGCAATTAGCCTCTCAATTAGAGCTTACAAAATCAGTGCTAGTAGAGACTTTGGGAGCTCCCCTAAGCCATCTCCTGACCTAAGCCCAGTCCAGCCTGGTTCACCCAGCTGCCCCAGCGACATTGCTGAACAGCCACAGGCTGATCACCAGTTATTCACTTACCTCTTCCAGGGGATGAAGTCCTCSTCTTCACTTGGAATCAGGAATAAASAACAGGAGTGATATTTATATCTTCTCTTCCTTTGATGGGGCAGCTTCAGTGCTGCCATATCCTGTCAGTTGTGTAGGGTGAGATACCCCATCCRACACGTGCTGGGCCAGGCAGCTGCAGTGTGATCCTCAGCTTCTGGTGCAATTTCTTGTGGAAACCCAAAGTGGTTTTGGTCCTGCTTGCTCCACTGTCCTCTGACCACGAGGAGCCTCCTTCTTCTCAAATCCTCTCCCTGGGAAAAGAGATTTATCCCGGCAGTAAGTGTCACTTTAAAGAAAAAGAAAAAAAAAAAAAAAAGATTATGTGTTTGCTGAAACGATGGCAATTACTTTCCTGCCTTTGCGACTGAAAATTATGTGTACTTTGAGTTAAGCACGCTGTGCCCTGGGACGTGATTATCGCCTTGTTTTCATCTCCGCGTGACAGCCGAGCACATTCCTGGGGACCAGCGGCCTCCGTGCGGCCGGATCAATACCTCTGCCTTGCAAGTGGCCTCAGCTTTGACTGCAATATCTGCTCTGGCCTTAGGTTGTCCTCAGTATGGTGGGAAGAATACTCGGTTCCTTTCCACTTATGCATATGCATACACATGTATGCATGTACATTTGCCTCTGTTTATGTATTTATGTGTGAAATAAAGAAGAAACACCAAAAGGTGAGTTCCTATTTGACGCAGCGTGAAGTTTATTCACTTGCAATTTCCTTAAGCCATTTAAAATAAAGGTAAATCTTTAGGTGGAAGGTRCCTATCCACAGTGCAGATGAAAAGGTCCAAGCGTGTGTGCCAAGATGGGATATTTCCATATCYTACAAAAACATGCACTTTTTTTTCTGAACTGGCCAAAACGCTTCTGTTTAACGCCTCTCTATCCCACCTCGCCTGGACCCCTGCTTATATCGCCATGCCCTGGAGCCCTGTTTAAGCTCAGCCTGGGGCCTCCAGCCTCTTCCTAAGCTGCGCTGTAGGTGTGGTTGTCTCCAGCCTGGTCTTTGCCTCCTGGATAGACCTCAGACCTGCACTGTAGGCAGCTTCTGGATGGACCCCAGACCTGGCTCATTGCTTGCTGTGCCTGGGGCTGTCAATGGACCCACTTACCAGCCCTGGTAAAGAGTGGAGCCTGCAGCCTCCTGGGTCACATCCTCAGGAGCACGGTCAGCATGCGGAGGACCGTGGTTGTCCCCCTTTCCTTGGTACTATTTAGACCATGTTGGATATCCCCTTCAGCTTTGGGGGCCTCTAACTGGCCTCCAGCAAGAATGGTGTCGATAAACTTGAGTAAATCTAGCAGGGGCCACCAAGACAGCTAGGGACAAAGACCATCAGCTACAAGACGAGGCTGAGGGGAAGGTGCTTACTTAGTCTGGASAACAGAAGGCCTTGGGAGGACCTAAGAGCAATGTCACCATGTCTAAAGGCAGGTTATCAAGAAGCCAAAGCCAAATACTACTCACGTACTATTCTCCCTGCTGAGATGTACAGCAGGGCRATGAGGGGCAGCAATAATAACCTAAAACTGAGATGTCTGACTGTACAGAAAACAGTTTCTACCCCAGAGGCCAGCCAGGCACTGGAAGAGGGCCTTGCCARGCTGTGCAGCCTCCACTCTTGGAGATTTTTCAAGGCTTGACTAGCGAAAGCCTTGAATAATGTGATATGAATCTGGCGTTGAACCTGCATTAAGGTGGAGATTGGTCTAGAGGTCTCCCGAGGTCTGTGATTAGTCCCATTCAGTGACCACCTATGAGCGTCCTGAAGAGCCAGGGTTTCCATGGATAGTATGTGATGTGGAGACTTATCGCTAAACTAACCAACATGTTGAACAMCACATCCTTTTTTCTTTCTTTTCTCCAAGCATCCTTACAATGCCACCACTGCTCTCTGCTGGCACGAGTACAGCAGAGCAGCTCCTGCACGTGTCCGTGGTGGCCCACGGGCACGCTTTAGGTTTGTGACACTGCTTTCCTTTAACAGATGCTCTCTGACAACTCGTGCTCATCCCTTCCCCAGCTGGTTGCAGTTGCCTTCCAGTCCCACTTGCAAGCTTATCACTGCCACCTGTGTTCCTAAATGTAATGCCTGAGAGGCCTTCCCAGCTGTGAGGAAGGTCAGATATCTGCTGTGCTTCTCACCCTGTGGTYGCAGGCAGGGAAGGAAGGAAATAAAGAAGAAACCCTGCAGAAGAAAAGCACTAGCTGAGTTGCCACCTGTGGCACTGGCAGGGCTACACAACCAGCACTGGCATCCATCAAGGGAAAGGCCACACAAGGCAGTGATCTCCTTGGAGAAAGAAGCTGGTTTCCAAGGCTCGAGAGCACCTTGTTGGGAGCTATGCTGAAGAATCTGAAGGGCTGTGTGCTCAGCACCCAGTACTCCAGCTGCTATGGGGCCCTGGGTCACTGATTGGATTGTTCTCATGGCCAGAAGCCTTGTGCAAGCCTAAACCAACCTGGACTGGGGTAAGTTGCTTCTGCAGAAAGCTCTACTTGGCCTTCTGTGTCCTCCACAGGTTGAGCTTTCCTTGACAAACTATGGAGCATTGGATGCTGTGGCAAAAGCCAAGCTTGACCATCTATAAATGAACATATTTTTGAGCAGAGAGAACCTCAGATAAACTAGGTCAGAGGCAGGTATTTATTTTTTAGAGTCAGAAGTTAGAGCTAAGAAAGATTTGGTAACAATAAATGTAAATTCAACAGACATGAATTCMGAGACTTGGTAAAACAGTGTTCTGGTTGGGATTCACCCTAACCATGTTGTCCAGGCGTCCTTTAGAGTGAGAAATAGGTGCTTCTGGTGAGTGATATATCCTGGGAAGGTGTCCAAAGRTAGCTTGAGTCCTTGGAAAGACTACAAAGAAGCTGACATGGCAAGCAACCTCAGGAAAATGCATTAGAAAGGACAATATAAAACTGCAAGTTACCTTGAAATTGGAAAAGTTTCAAGGGTGGTGATTTGGTTTCTGTGTTTTGAGGTGCTTTTTCTTTAGCAGGTGCACTTTCAGTTTCAGCACAAACGTTGTACAAACAGAAGTAAGCTTAGTGGCCAGGACAGAGATGAACAGATCCRTTAGTAAGAAGTTACTGTAGGTGTCTCTCCAGAAACGTAGGCAGAAAAAGTCCTTCTTAGTCCCATTTTTTTCCATCCAAAAACAAAACAAAAAGGCATTCTCTTGTGTTTGTTTTTTTCCTTGCCAAGTTAAGCACGTAAGTATAATTGCCTATCCTCTGTAGGCTTTATTTCTGGTATATTTGGGGGATTTTCCAAAACACATCCTGCAGAGAGAAATTTCTGCATGATGCAATGCCAGGTACTCAGGGGAAGCTTGCTCTGCTTTTCAGGTGCCCTGGGGAACCTGTGCTAATTCATCCCATGACTATGGGATCAGTGGGACCGCATTCTGGTTTTGTAGAGACCGACAGAGCCTATATTTGGACTCCCACTCAGTCATCACTGAGTGGATGTCTGATGAGAAATTGGGAGATCATTGGATGGAGTGAACATGGGTGGCTTTCTGAGGCAAAGAGATGCTGGGGGGCGAGGTATTGACTATCCTCACATGTCTCTATCAACATTTTGAGAACTTTATGTCTAGACAAAATCCTCCTTCAGCACTTGCTGATGATTGTACATGCCCATGGTTTTGCTGGAGTGGAGGAGGACTGTGAAGAGCTGCAGGAGTCCCAGTGTAAGGTAGGGAAAGCTAAGGTCTTGGTAAGATACTGCTAATAACCGATGCAGTGAAGATGCAAAAGAAGAGGTGGGAAATGACCGTGCACATCACATAATGCTTCTACACATGGTGTATGAATGAGAGAACAAGCATGCCTACTGTAGYGTGCAAGAAGGAATTTGGGCGAACGGATGAGACAGGATACCCCAAGCTTGKTTTTTTTGTTGCTGTTGTTTATTTTATTATTTTTAAGCACCTTCTTGGGTAGTGGGAGAGCTTCTCAGTGAAGATATTAGCAGAAGTGAAAGGCAAGGACTTTATCGCGCGTTGAGCTGGAGTTGGAGGAAGACGTTGGTATTCTGTTACGCATTGGAAAATCCTTTCTAAAGCCTATGAAAATGAGAGCGTAAGGCATGCCTGAATATCTTCAAAGGGCATTTGAAGGGTACTACTATTACTAGAGACATTGCATGCCACTCTGTAATTAATCTGAGAGTATCCTCACTTGACTGAGCGCAGAAGTTTCTAATTAGGTATGTTTCATCACCTCTATATTATTTAACTACAGTTGGCTCYGGACTTCCACTGTAACAGCAGCTAGTTTAGATAGCTGCTTGAGCAGTTTTGTATCATCTATGCAGAAGAGACCAAAATTTTGAGCTGGAAAGGAAAGGATTAAGGGGAAATTTGGCTTCAGAATTTCTAAGAACRTCTGATTTTTTCTTCCAAAGGTGTCACAGTCACTGCAAGAAAGAAAATCAGTCGTTTCTTTTACATTTTTCCACTTAACCGCAAAAGTGGTGTCAGCTTCTCACATTGAAAGCTATGAAGTGGAAATATCATCCAGCACTTTTATTTTTCACTCCCTTGCAGGTGTCTCCCCGGTACAAATGACTGATGAGAACTGCACCAGGGTGACCCACTTCATCCTCCTGGGACTCACAGAGCATCCACGCCTGAAGCCCATCCTCTTTGCCCTCTTCCTGGGCAGCTACGTGCTGACCCTGGTGGGCAACCTCAGCATCGTGGTGCTGGTCAGGGTCAGTCCTCAGCTCCGTACCCCCATGTATTTTTTCCTCAGTAACTTGTCCATCTTGGACATCTGCTATTCCTGCACCATCAGCCCCAAAATGTTGTTRGATCTTTCACAAAAGCATACGGCCATTTCTTTTGCTGCCTGCATCACGCAGTTTCACTTCTACGCTGTTTTTGCCGCAGTTGAGGTCTACCTTCTGGCCGCCATGGCGTACGACCGCTACGTGGCCATCTGCAACCCCCTGCTCTACGGGGTCGTCATGTCCCCTGGGCTCTGTACGTGCCTGGTGGCTGGGTCCTACCTTGCCGGGCTGCTGAATGCCCTGGCCCACACCAGCGCCTTGCTCCAGCTCTCCTTCTGTGGCCCTYGGGCCATCAACAGCTTCTTCTGTGACGGGCCCCCATTGTTCGTTCTGTCCTCCACCGACACGTGGCTCAACGAGCTCGTGATGTTTTTGTTGGTGGGCTTCAACTTGACCGCCACCAACCTGCTCATCGTGGTGTCCTACGCCCGCATTGCGGTGACCGTTGCGAGGATGCGCTCCGCTGAAGGCCAGCGCAAGGCCTGCTCCACCTGTGCCTCCCACCTGGCCGCTGTCACCCTTTTCTACATATCTGCTACTTTCAACTATATGCAGCCCAGTTCGATGAACTCAATGGAAAATAAGAAGATTGCTTCTATCTTTTATAGCATTATAGTCCCCATGTTGAATCCCTTGATTTACAGTCTGAGGAACAAGGAGGTGAAGCATGCCATAATCAATATTATCAGTAGGAAAATGTACTTTTGAAAGTCATTTTTATTTCATATTATTTATATATATATATTCACAGTTTTCCCCCCTCTCTCTTGAGAGAGAATGTTCCACACAAGCCTCTGATATTGCTGCTTCCAAAGTTGTTTGAAGCCTCAAGGATTGGGATGGGGAAATTGATTAGTGTTTTAGGGAAAATATCAGTCTGATGGTGCTCACTGACATAGCTACATCTTTCTCGTCTGAAAAACAAACTGCTTGTCCAGTTACTCTGCCCACCATGTAGTAGTCACCTTGCCCCTTCATGAGCTGGAGATGGTTCTAGCGTGTATCTGCACGCAATATCACAGAACGGTTGAGGTTGGAGGAAACCTCTTGAGAAGTCCAGTCCTTGCCTGATGTGCAAGTAGGATTTCCTACATTTTATTTTGTCTCTTCAGTGTGTACCACTGAGAAGAATCTGACTCCAACTTCCCTACCTCTTCTGACCAGGTATTTACTGACAATGATAAGATGCCTCTGGAGCTTTCTCTTCTCAAACCTGAACAGTTCCAGCTCTCTCCGAATCTCCTCRCATGAAAGATCAGTCCCTTCATCACCTTCATAGCCCTTCACTGGACTCACTCCATGTCTCTCTTGTACTGGGGAGCCCTGAACTATATAGTTCTCACCAAGGCTGCATGGAGGGGAAGGATCATGTCGCCCAGCCTGCTGTCAATGCTCTGCCCAGGCATCTAGTGGCCTTCTTGGCTGCGAGAGCACCTTGCTGGCTCTTGGCCACCATATTGTCTACCATGACCCCCAGGTCCTTCTCTKCAGAGCTGCTCTCCAGCAGCTCAGCCCCCAGCCTGTCCTGGTGCATGGGGTTGTTCTTCCCTGGAGACAGGACTTTGGAATTCCCATTGTTGAACTTCATGAAGTTCCTCCCTGCTCCATTCTCCAGCTTGACAAGGCCCCTCTGAATAACAGCACAGCCACAGGGACAAGAAAATGATGAAAYGAACTGGATGAGATTATAATAGCAGCAAAAAAAAATAGTCCGTCATGAACACTGTTTTAAAGAGTGATGCATCTTGCCACAGACTCRCTTAAAGTATGTGAATGTTGAAATTCCTGTCAAAGCTTTTTCAGCTGATTAACACCATCTTTTTTTTTTTCTGATAGCCAAAGCTATTTGTTTCTATTTTCTGTTTTTATCAAGCAGCCTATCCATATTTCCAGAATGCATATGCCCAGTGAACATGAATGTTAACATACAGTGTTAAATGAAGACTATTTAAAAAAAAAAAAAGTAAGCTTTGGTTAATGATGGACATTATGATGTTACATTCACATATCTAGATATTTTCAGGTAGAATTCAGTTGACCACCACTACCCTCCAGGATATTAAATCTATAACTTCATATACTTAGACTTGTCAAATTCTTTTGTATATGTAAAGAACAGAATGAGCTGTTCAAACTCATATTCTGAGCCTTCCCTTCGAGTAAATCTTCTTCTCTAGATTGTATTGRGAGCCAGAGGCACTTTTTCCATTTCCTGAGCTCAGCGTGGAACATAAAATACTGACCCATTACAAAACCTGGGGCTCTGAGCTGAAGTTAATGCCCTTTATTTTCTCCTGTGCACTGCTTTATGTAGAGGTATGCTGAATTTCACTCACCATCCTCCACCCAGCACTTTCCTGTGCATGGCTTTGAGTGCACCTCGGGGTGCAGGTCTCTGTGTTGGGCTCTGTTTCTTGACTCCCTCCTTGTCCGTGTTGGTTAGCTCCACATCACAGAGTGGTTCTGCAGCATGTGCCATACACCCTGTCCTACAGCAAACAGAGCTGGGAATGGCGTGCTGACCTCAATCAACACCTAGGAAATCATAGATCTTTTTCTAGGAGAAAAGAAGGAGAGAAACCCAGGGAAGGGTTGTTCGTCATTCTACAAGGCTTTCACCTCTTCCCTTTCCCCAATCCATCCCTTGGCTGTGGTGGTGCAGGCATCGCCCCAGACCTGGGTGCCATCCTGTGTGTCCAGAAGGCTGGCAGGTCCTCTGCATGCAGCTGCAAGGAGAAGTGGTGCCCATTACCTTGGTGGTGGGAGCAGGGGAAGGTCATCTGTCCCAGGCCCACGCACCGAGSAAGTGGCTCAGCTGGACATGGACTACTTTGCCATCAGGGTAGGACCTGGGGAGCCTACATCTGCCACTAGATGCTCTCCAGTAAGTCAGGCAGATGCTGCGATGCCATGAAGTTCTCCAAGATAAATGAGGTGCTAATGTCCCCTTTGAGTTGGAGGTGGGAGCTTATCAACTCTCTGAAGCCTACCAGGTGGATCTGCATGAATATCTGGAGTCATTAAGACTGGTAGTGCTTTTCACATAATTTAGCATTTCTGAACATGTTAACTGCCTGTAGTACTGTATCAAGGGGAAGTGCTGCTAAGCAGCTGCACATCTTAGACATGTGAGGTGCACCAACAGTCAGCCCCGTGTTGGACAGGGTGATGGTTTATAATGCGTTGAAGAGGGAAGGAGTAGGAAAGTGCTTGGAGAGCCTGAGGCTGCTGCGGATCGAGCCATGCTTTTACCGATAGTGCTGGCCATGGAGGTCACACCACAGGTTTCCACCCCTCAAGCAGCAGAAAGCAACTAAGAATCACCAGCACAGTCAGCACCCATGAACTGAGGACTTAGCACTATTTGAGTCAGGGGCTCTGTAGGCAATAATAGGCTTTGATGGCCCTGAAGAGCCTCATCTAGACCTCCACCTAGCCCATAATCCAGGAACCTTGTTTAAGCAAGCTAGTTGACAGCCCCAGCTCCTCTGAGCTGTTTTGTAGGTGTATCTGGCTCCTGCTTTGTCTCTTGGATGAACCTCAGACTTGCACTGTAGGTAGATTCCCTCCTAGATGAACCCTTTGACAAACATAATAGTTTGTGGCCACCACCGACTTGTCTCCTTTAGCTCTAGATGGGAGCCCCAGGATGGACTCTAGATCTGGTTCAGCACTTGTGGTGTCTGGAGCTGCTTATGGACCCTATTGCTGGCCCTTAAGGCTTATTTATAGTGTGTTTGGGGGTGAATCTCCTTCATCCTGAGTTTTCTAGCTCTCTATGCTGCASCCCATGTAAGATCTCAGGCACTTGCTGCAAGGTGCTAAGTGACTTCTGCCAGCCCTTGGTGGCCAGGGGAAGCTGCCTTAGCTGCTGGRGTAAGGTGTACAGACTTACGAAAACCTCTTCAACCTCTGCTGCTAACCTCTGTAGCAGGGACTGGAGGACTGGGGAGGTGCACCCCAACATATTGACCYATAAGCTGTCTTAACCACAGGCTTCAGGGCCGGAGTAGCTGTGAAAAAAACAAACAACTTTAAAAGTGCTCGTTGCCATTAACTAAGAAAAAAGTTTCTTTCTTGTTAGTTTCTTTGAGGTTGTCCCCCAGTGACTTGTTAGGAAGAATGAGGTGAGTTGACTGTGAGCTCTCTAAGAAGGTTTCAGGGTCATTAGAGACTTTCTTCCTAATGCCCAGARGAGTTTGTTAAGCTGATGACTCCTGGAAGAGTGGTTGGCTCCCAGAGCGAGCGTCTTGTTTTGGGAAGGAGAGCAATGTCATTTGGGATAGAAATMGATTCAACCACCTAGAGGATGGGATTTTGGCATTTGGGCTAGCTGGGAGGCTTCCAGAGGGTCATGCTTTAACTCTTACCTCTTTTGGCTGCTAGACGAGACATTTGGTCTGATTAAAGAATAAGGTGTTTCTTGTTCTCACTAACGTGAACTGGTCCTGTGCATTTGTTGGCTTTCACTAAGCAGATGCTTCATCTTTGCCTGTTCTTCACTCCAAAGAAAAACAAATAAAACATTTAAGAAGTCCTTCAGATACCACTGGAGCCTGGGTTGGTTTAGGTTGGTCTGACTCTGGTAATGGCCTTATCTATCCTTAGGGGCTTCAGGTATTCCAGAGGAGCYTGAGGGAGATGTGGGTCACTTCAGCACACAGGCCACCCAGTTCCAACTCCAGACAACCTGGAGTTGTCCTCATATCTGTTTTATGCTTTACATGGCGTAAGGGATGGAGGGCAGCTGAACAGGCATCACTGAATGCCAGGATCGTGCTCTGGGGTTTCTTCTTCTTGTGATATATTGAGAAAGGCGAGAGCTGCAGCCGGGGCAGGACCAGGAGAGCCCAGACCCAGAGCCTGGGCTCAGGCTGCCAATGCCCGATGGAGCAGTAGGAGTCAGGGTTGGGATTATCCCTGGTTTAAGTCCTCTCCCGTGCTCACTTCTGGCACCCACATCTATGAGTGACTGCGCCAGGCTTCCTGAAAAGAATAAATAAAATCCTCACTCTCTGCTGGGACTCTTCCAGCCAGCTTGTAGAGGAAACCACAGCAGTATGAATGTTGACTAGTAAGGTTTTCACTTTGTTTTGTGTGGGCAAACGTCAGAATAGACTGTATACCATGGAAGGTATAATTAAAAAATTTGCATAGCTGAATGACCTCTATTTTTAGGTATCTTATTAAAAAACAAACAAACAAAAAAATCACGTGGCAGGAGGGAAAGGGGGAAAGTGCTGGGTACCTGCTGTTTTCCAGGCGTACTCGCGTCTGCGATGACTGCAGTTCAGCTTACCTAAGCCTTGCAGTTTAAAAGGGAATTGTGTAGCTCCGTCTTAAAATGGGTGTCTAAATGGAGCCACTTTCCCTGGACTAACAGAAAGGCAGAAAAATAGGAACAAATGCCACAACACAGATGGCTGCAACGGCATTGTTTGCACTGTACTTTCTTTTTTTATTTTTTCTTCTTCCCCCGAGCATATTTCCATTATTAGTCTTCTCGGATAAATGAGATTTGAAGGCAAGGACTATTTTCCTAGTCTTCCATTCACACGTCAAACATCCAAACAATGCATTCCTCTGGCAACAGCTGGTGCCTGCTCTGCTTGTTTTTACTGCAGCTGTAGAGTTCAGGCAGAATGCCCTGGGTCTCACACCAGCCCTGAATGGGCCATTTTGTTTGGGAATTGTTTGGGAAACAAGGGGCTACGCTGCCCAGAGCCGGTCCGGAAAACCACCCGGCCTCATGACTCATGCTCCCCATGGATATGCCCTCTTTGGATCCCCCCAAAGCTTTGCTACCCCTGCTTGAAGCAGGTTAAGGAACCCTTTGCTCTGCTGCTTTGTATGGCAGGCACATGAATTCCAGTCTAGCTTTTGGACTCTGAGAGGGACCTATGGAGAATTGGCTGGTATTCAGACATTTAAGGTAGCGTGGGAAGAGTTTCCTGCCCACGGACTGTAGAGGGAGCCCAAAGGAGCAGCTCATGGTCTGGGGAGCTGGCTCGGACTTGGATGCTCAACTTCAGGCTTTCAAAAACATGCGGGATGAATCTCATCTTTGCAGACCAGAAAGTCAGCTGTACCTCGCTGTGCTTTGTTCATAGT